TTGTTTCCGGTTTACAATATCAGAAAAGAATATTAAAAAAATCAAAAGAAAAATAAAAAGCTTTAAAAAGAAAAAGGATAAATCAAAAGAAAAAGAAAAAAATATATTTTTATTTAATAAAAATTATTTTTTAATTTAATAAAAAATGAAATATTTAATGATTAAATAAAAATGAAATATTTAAAAAACAAAATAAATTTATAATGAGTGATAAATATTTTTATTTAATGATTAAGTATTTAATACAAAAACGACATATTTAATAAAAAACAAAAAATATTTTTTATTAAATATTTAATTTTTCATTAAATATAACCATTAAATAAAAAATATTTATCAAATATTTATTTCGTTTTATATTTCTTTTTTTATTAAATATTTTTTATTTTTTATTTAAATAAAAAATCTTTTTTCATTAAACAAAAAAATGATAAATATTTCTTTTTTTATTAAATATTTTGTTTTTCATTTCGGTTTTTATAACCATTAAATATTTAACCATTAAATATTTAACCATTAAATAAAAAATATTTATTTCTCATTAAGCATTTATTTTGTTTTTCATTTCGGTTTTTATAATTATTTTGTTTTTGATTAAATAAAAAAATGTATTTTTTATTTAAAAAAAAGATTTTTTTTATTTTGTTTAAAATCATAAAAAAAAATGATTTTTTTATTAATTAATATTCTTTTTTTTGTTAAACTTTTTATGCACATGTCTTTTCATTTTCTTTTTGAAGTTTTTTCTTTTTCTTTTGATTTTCTTAATATTTTTTTTTCTTCTGATTTTGTAAATCAGAACAATTAAAAGACAAAAGTGCAACGAATGTAAAATTAGTGGACTAATAGTGCAATTTTTCCGATCTGACTAGGCGCCACCTCGTGCCACATCACGCCGAGAATAGAATTCCGATCTGACTGGGCGCCACATCAGCTATTCCGGCGAAAATAAGCACCGGAAAGTCATTTTGGACTAAAATTACCAAAAAAAAAGTTAGTGTACCAATTGTAAAACGGAAACAATTAAAAGACGAAAGTGCAACGAAAATATAATTAGTGGACGAATAGTGCAATTTTTCCGGGAAAACTTATTTCAGCAGATGCAAACAACAATGATCTCCAATATTTTGTTAGTTGCAAATTTTTTCGCATTAGATCTTTCCAATCACAAAGTATTATAAATAAATTTTTTTAAATCAAATGCATTTTATAATAAAATTCTCAAGTTTCAAACGCAAATCGTGACCCGTATCTTTAAATCATGAAATATATGTTAGGTAAAATTAACTGACCGCAGATAAAATAGGTTGTAGTTTAGAAGCGATTTACGAACTTATAACTTATATATGGTTTATAGTTGAAATACTAGTTTATATGATAGAAGTATTTGGTAAAATTATCTGATAAGCTAACTGAAATAAAAATTTCAACAAACCTAATTAAAAAACTACCTAAAATAGCTTATGCTATAAGGTGGATTACTTTGAAATTTTTGTCCTACAAAACAAAACATATTATAATACAATAAAATTATAAGCTAACAAATAAGCTATAAACTAGATTACTTAATTAGCAAAATAGCCGAAAGTGATTGATTGATAGCCACGGCTATCTACATGTAATATTCATCATATATATAACTATGAGAGATGCTACAGTCCCGTTACGAAACTATTCCGTCGGGATTTGTAACCATCAGATCAACTACCCTCGACGGTTATATAATGATCTAACGGTTATAAACTCCGACGGAATGATTCTGTAATGAGAATGTAGATTTTCCTTATAACTAATAATTATTTTAGCACCTGAGAACTACTGATCATTTTAATGATACAAAGTTTGGACTAAATAAATGAGATAAAGAAAAATAAATAAATAAATTAAGAATAAAATTTACAAAAAACTCGGAATTAGATTTTATTAAAAAAGACGGCTCTCCGTGACTTACGGCGCTGCCGGCGCCAAACTAAGGTGCAGATCGAGCCCAAAGGCATCATCGAAACTGGGCCCATCCTCCCCTGAAGAGAACCTGCTCAGGGAGGGCCCGTCGAGCCTCCCGCTGTGGGCCACAACGGGCTGCTGAGGCCCAACCGAAGTGGCGTCGAGGAACGGGGGCGGCACGGGTGAGGTTCGAGGCACGTAGATCCACGAAGGGGCGGCGAGTAGGTGTGGGGGAGGAGCAAAGGCGGAGGCCATCGGGTTGCGCATGGCGAAGCGCGTGGCGTGCATCTGGGCGCGCTTCAGCTGCTGCCGCTCCTTCTTGTGGGCGTTCTGGTGGCCGCCGAGCGCCTGGGAGTTGGCGAACTCGCGGCAGCAGTACTGGCACTCATACTTGCGGGAGGACTCCGAGGGACCCTCTTGCTCGCCGCTCACGTTGAACCCGAACAGCTTCAAGGACTTGTTTTGGTGATCACCCATCATTTACACACACTGACACACACACACACACACACATATATCTTATTGAATTTTTTCTTTGTGCCTATGACTTCACTTCGCTTCGTTCGTGTGCTTAAACTCAAGCTAATATATAGCTACCTACCTACACAGATGTCGATCAGTGTGTGTGTTTGTTTTGGTGAGTGAATTGAGGGGCTATTTATAACGAGTAAGTCGTTGTCTTGTGGGAGAAAGAGAGAGAGAGAGAGAGAGGGGCAAAGACAAGAGAGAGATGGTTGCGGAGAGAAAGAAAGTTTTTTTCAAGTGTAAAACTGGAAACACTACAGTATTAGAGACACATGGGACCCAATGGGGGATTAGACTTGCCTTTTCATCATCATCCACCTTCATTTTTTCTTTTTCTTCTTCTTCAATTATTTACTATATTTTAAAA